GTAGGACAAAATAATATTAAAAGTTAAGTGTTCTTCTAAAAATTTTTAATTTTTGTAAAATGTCACTTTTGTTTTCAATGTGCGATTTGTATTTTTTATATACATTCATAATAGAAATCTAAATACATAACAATCATTCTACTACCTGATATTTTCAATAGTCCAAATTAACTTCTTCAAGAAATCCTATGAATAAAAACTCATAAAACTAAAATAGAATCTTACATTTTGATACCTCTTTTTTGGGATGAAAATGAGAGCAAGAGCAATCACTTATCCTGGATATTATGAATTGCTTAGTTTCAGAAGTAGGTACAGATGGATTAGATTCTATTAAAATTGATGGCCCAGAATTAAGTACGCTACTTTCTTTGATTGAAACTACTGAGCTGTAAAGAAAAAGTAATAATAATAAATAGTTATTTATGTACCAAGTCAGCAAAGCGATTCTTTATCGAACTACTGTGAGATTATGAGCCGATGCGAGTAACAGGTGACTTCGATAAAGATTCTTTGTTGACGTGGTCCATACCAACCGTAAATAATTATAATTAATAAAAAAAAAGGCAATATTATAACATCACATTTTAGTAGGACAAAGTAAATAAACTGAAAACTTCTATTAAAAAAAATGGGCTTCCTAATACATCGACTTGTCCTTTTGTAATAAAAATTAAAAAACTTATCCAAACATTTTCAGAAAGAGACCAGAACGTTAATTTATTTGGATTAAAGCTCACATTGGGCTAAAGCACAACGAACATGTAGATTCGTTGGCCAAAAAAGGCTCTGCAACAGGTTCTAATACGTCATACAATTTATCTGTTTCTCATATTTCGGCAATATTAAAAAGAAATCAGTTCAATAAATGGCAACACTTGTGGCAGGAATATTGTTTTACAAATCCAACGAGGTATACGACTCTTCAGTTAAACATTCCTAAGATCTCTTGGTACAAGCATTATAAAATACCGCGAAAGTACATGTCGACAATCATTAAGATGATATTTGGTTATGCCTGTTATCCTAGCCATTTATACAAAATTAAAGTCTCTGAAAGTGACCAATGCGAGACGTGTAATGAAAAGAGAGATCTAGACCATATCTTCTTTAATTGTACTAAAAACAAAAAATTCTCTGACAAGCTATATAATGACCTGCTTAAATGTAAAATATGCTCTCCTTGGAATATCCAAAGTTTATTGTCCTCCAATTCCACAAACATTTATGACTGCTTGATTAAATTTTTAATGGAATGAGGTATACGCTTGTGATTAGTGCTTCTCTTAGACTCGTTACCTTTGTTTTCTTTCCTATTGTTTTATTTTACCCCCTACCCCCTTACCGTGACCTAGTGTATGTCTGTTTTATTTGTAATGCCTTGATGGGTCCCTAGGCGAGAAGCGAGTGTCCCGTTTAATCCTCTTGTCGTTATTTGAAATTAAATATTTATTTTTCATTCATTATTATTTGTTTGTTAATTTACCTCTTCCATTTTGTGACTGGCTGTATGACAAAGAGTCTATGCCAAAAAAAAAACTGCAAAATAACAACCAATACAAAACTATCTGTTGCAGGCTATTTCTTAGCGTCAGATAAAATATTTTATTTCTACAGTGAGATAGAATGTTGGTTTACTTCTTCAAATCGCTATGGTAATGTATGTCTTTATTGACGGTTGGCGATATAATATACTTATTTTCATTAACACCTTTTTATTAAATTAATAATAAAAAAAAGACAATTACTTGGATATTAATAAAAAAGTTTCCCATGTGGTGCCGACATAAGTAGTAGACACTCTGTATATTTGAGAGAATAAATTGCCAGTGCCATTATATAATGGATATGGTTAGCAAAACAATGATTGAGTCATAAATGCTTTGTAAACCATACAATTTAAACGCAATAAACTGTCAAAACTCTGCACTAACATATTCTAATCTTTCCAAAAAAAGTTTTATAAATCACATTTTTAAAAGATCAACCCCACTCGTAATAAGTAGTCCTTATTGTTCTTTAACTTTTTTCTATAATATTTACATTGTCTGTATCAATAAGACAATATTTATTATTGCCACCCCTAATGTTTAACCAAACAAACTGTAGCTAGTCTTATACTTTGAACAGTTGTAATTTTTCCCATAGCTAAATTATTTAGAGATATTTGAGTTTGTCGTTAAAGTAACAAAAAAGATTTTGGAATATAATGCTTCAAATAATAAACATTATACTAACACGTTTAACATACCTTTTATACACGTGTTAACAAATGTATAACGTGTTAAAAAGGTATAAAAATTAGTAAAAATTCTAAATAGATATTGATGTTTGCAAGGAAAATGATATAAAAAAAGCAGAAAGCTAAAATGAATACTGACCCAGAAGCTAAAACAATAGTTTTTTTTGTATTAAGTGCGCAAAATGAATGTTTTTTAATGGCTCCTGCGATTTATCGGCGTTTTGAATCTTTTAAATCATCTAAGTAATAAATTGAAGAGAGTGTGAATCTGGGAGTAAAGCAACGTTGCAAAAGTGTATTCAGATGCACTGAAAGTGGTCAGTGTATTCTCAACCTGAATTTGCTGTTAGGTGTTGCATGGATACCGTTCTTAAACCACGACGTGGATCATCTTTCTTGTATTTGTTACGAATGTTGACTGATGAATCAAATATTTATCCTATGTCATATCGGCAACCTCGTGAAGTGTTGCCGACCTTTAAAAGGTAATTTCCCCTGCACGTTAAGTTTAAATCGTATTCGCTCTTAGTTTTGTTTGTGTTGTTCCGTTGACAATAGAAATAACTAGAAATGACGTCATTGTCTTTTTCTTATCATAAAAAGAGTTTACTTTTTATTTTTGTTAGTTCCTTTTTAAAACAAGCATGCCATTTCAAGTATTTATTGAAAAGAAACCATGCTTCAAAAGTATATTGATATATTTAAAATTTACGTTTCTATTCACTTTTGGCCAATTTTGTCAAAAATCCACAGAGAATGATGTGGATGATTTAATCTTATTCAAATGTATCTCGAATAATATTTTGTGACTTCGTTTTTTTTTTTTCATTTAACATAACCCATATTATAATATTTATCTCTTTTTGTGTCTAAGTTTGAATGAAACTATGAACAAGACAGTAACAATCATAATGAAAGGCCGACTTACATGAAATTCATCAACATTTACGTTATTAATGTAATTTCTGTTTTTGCGCATGTACCTTATTATGCCTAGACACTTTTCCGCCCCTTTGTAGTGGCATGTTCTCTCTAAACTAAAAGTTTTTATGGGTGTTAGCATTTAAGCTTGTGTGATCCTTTGTATAAAGAAAATAAACAAGATGCTCCTACTTTCTGAGGCAAAAAGACTGTTATCTCCTTTGTCGTAAAATAATGTTCGTATTGTGTATTCAGAAGCGCTTATCTTTTGCCCAAATATAGAGAATATTTATAAAGGACCGAAGGCCCAGTTTTTGGCGGTGAAATTGAGGATGGCCGAGTGTTTCCTAGAATAAAGCTTTTCATTCGGATCGTTGTATTAAATTTGATTTGTATACAGATAAGGGTGGACTTTTCCGATGGAATAACAAGACAACAAATATAAAATTTCTTATGGGTTTAAGAACTTTATACTGTAACATTTATTTTTATAAACAGTTTATTCATTTATTTTCACTAAAACATTTATTTGTGGAACACTAATTTATATCACCTTTACTAATACACTAGTTTATATTGACAATATTTATCTTAACAGAACGATCTATCAACTAAAATAAAACTTTTATATACAAATATAACACTCCAGACTTGTTTTCAAAAATTCTAGATATCGTTCCAGTCAGAATGGGTTAGAACCAGAACATACATCAGCGGATCGACTAATTAGTAGAATAATAATAATTATAATAATGAATTTATTTCTACTAATTTACAAAATATAATAATACAATCTTGAGATAGTTATAAATAAATGAAAAGAAATCTATAAGTGATTTTTTTACTTGTTTTAATACAATAACAATCACAAAAACAATAAAATAGAAAAGCTTACAATAAATACAAAAAATTAATTGTAAGAAAAATAAATGATCCTGTATGCAAAAATTATATATTGTTCCCTTCTAGCATTTTTTAACATTTCTATTTCTTTTCGTTTCTTTTCTTAGATTTTTTTTGGAAGAGACTGATTCAAATTTTTAAAGTGACTCCAGAGAGATATGGGTTTAGCCTTTACCTGTACTTACATAAATTTTCTTTTGGTAAAAATAAATAATAATCCGTAAATTGGTGTACTATGAAACCCTTGCATATGCCATTCTTAGTATTACAGAAATGATTTACATAAAAAATAAGGTGTACAGGTAAAATTTATTTATCCCTCGTAAAACATTAGAAAAATATATTATGAATGGTTTTCATTCACAAATATTAATTTCTTAAAAATCTAACAGAGGCGCCACTTTCCAGACGAAAAATCTTGCAATGTAAGGGTTTCGTAGTACCCCACTTTTAAAGTTTATTTTTGACTATTTTTAAAAGAAAAAATATGTACGTGTAGGTAAAGGTTAAATCTATGTTCCTGGAACCAGTTTTTCAAAATTCAATTTAGTTTTTTCTAAAAAAAATTGATAAAAGGGGTAAAAAAAGTCGAGTTTTGTATTTTTTTTTATAAAAAACTGAATAAAATTTTAAAAAAGTGTCTCCAGAGGAGCACAGATTTAACCTTTACCTATACGAACATATTTTTTTCTTTTAGAAAAATTTAAAAATAAACTTTAAAAGTGGGGGTACTAAGAAACCCTTGCATGTTCCGCCCTACAGCCAAGTAAATACTCCCCTTAATGTGCAACATAATCTTTCCGGCAAATAAAACAACAAAACAGATCAACATCAGCCGGTAGTCAAAGGAAAATTAGAAAAGTCTGCAAACATTTTTCATAATAATCCCTTGTTTTTATGACGGTGATTATATATACTAATATGTCTTTTACAGCTCATCTTGGAAAAGCCTCACCTCGCTGGATCTGAGCTATAATCAACTAGACAGTGTGCCTTTTGTCCCGCTCAGAGAATCCCGGAGTCTAGAGTGGATTAATCTTCATGGGTAAGTATATTTTGCCATTCATATACCTACGCAGTATTTTAGACAGATCCGGGTTCTGTAAAATTACCTTACATGATGTTTGAATTTTCATATGATATATTGCCATAATATAAATAAAATATCTTCCTTTCTTATTTTGTCATAAAGTTATATTTTATGGTTAAGAGATTATTTACAAACCAAAAATCAGGATAATTTACATTACTAATAATTCTACTAAAAACAGGTATAATATTTTATTTAATTTTGCTGATATAAATAAATGTGATGGTTGTGTATTTAAAAAAGTTGTATAATTATAATTATAACAGTAAATATATATCATTTCAAAGCTTTGGAAATAATAGTAACTAAAGAAAATAAACTTATTAAAATAACATCACTCCCTCATTGAATGAAAGGAAGTTCATAACTGAACTGCACCACTACTTAAGTAAATCTAAAAAGAATTGTGATGTGCATGTAATTGCAGGTGATATAAATATTGATATACTTCGAGACGATGAAGTTTATTAAAATGAGTATTTAGATATTTTTAGTGAGTTTAGTTTTATGTCAACCATAAATTTTCCTACTAGGATACAAGGTTTTTTCGAAAACTTGCATAGATCACATGTTTGTAAATATAAAAAATGGACAAGTCAAAGATTGTTGATCTAGCTATGTTCTAGATACCCTTGTTACTGATCATAGAGCTACAATTTTAAACATAAATATATTTAATAATAAGGAACCTGTGAATAAAATTAAATTTATTAATAAATGAAATAAGAATAATCTCAAAGCTGATTTAACTTCTTATAATTGGAATGCTTTATACGATATGACAGATATGCAAGAAGCAACAATTTACTTTGTTAATACTCTTAATACCTTATTTCTAAAAATACAACTGTACTTAAACAGAAAAGGTCATTAATTAAAAAGAAAGCGTGGATTACGGTAGCTCTTATGAAATCAATAGTCACAAGGGATAAATTATATAAAGCATATTAAAAAGACATAGAAAACAAAGTGTTAAAAGACCAATTTTTTAATTACAGAAATTTTTTAACCGCCTTATTCAAGTTACTAAACTTAATTGTCAGAAAGCACAGATAGAATCAAATAAATATAACTCGCAAAAATTATGGAAAACAATAAAAAATATAACAAACTCTAATAATAATATAACTGATATAAAAGAAGTAATAACAAAAAACAGTAATGTTGTTAAGAATAAATTACAAATAGCAGAAGCATTCAATGAATTCTTCTCGGAAGTAGGACCTGACCTTGCTAGACTTATTACAAAACCACCAACACATCCTCTACCTCGGAAAGTAAATAATAACACCATATTCCTAAAACCCACAAATAAAGAAGAAATAATTGAAATTATACAAAATTTAAAAAATAATAAAAGTTCTGGTATAGACAATATAACTGCCGAAACATTAAAAGAAATTCGTACAGAACTTTCTTCGCCGCCCTGCTTTATTATTAATCTAATTATAGAAAATGGCATTTGTCCGATATAATTGAAGTCTGCAGTTATAAAACCTCTTCATAAAAAGAGAAATAAACAAACTCTTACTAACTACAGACCTGTTTCTATAATAAACAATTTCTCAACAATTTTTGAAAAATAAAAAAAATAAGATTAGAATCATTTTTAAACAATAATAATATTATTTCTAGAAAACAATTTGGGTTTCGTACAGGTATTTCTATACAACATGCAATATTAGAAATTATATAAGGCTGTTGACTGCAGCTGTCCGATCATAGGGGTATTCCTCGATCTTGCAAAGACGTTCAATACTGTGGACCACTTGCAGCTGTTGGATTCTTTGCAGGATATGGGAATACGAGGAGTTGCACAAAAACTGATCGAATCTTATCTAATAGGAAGAAAACAATGTGTTAAAATAGATAATATTATAGGCTCGGAAAGGATTGTTCAATGTGGCGTTCCTCAAGGGTCAGTTCTTGGTTTCATTCTCTTTACAATATACGTTAATAATCTACTTACACTTCTGGAGAGATAACAAGCTTTGCCGATGATACTGTCGTCTTTTATACTACAAACACCTGGAATGATCTGAAACAAAAAAATGAAAAATATATAAGTAATATTATAGATAGGTTCAATTACAAATTGTTAAAAAAAGCTAGAAGTAGTCCAAAAATTATTTTTAAAAATATTACTTCAGAAAAATAGAACTTTCTCTTCTAATGCTCTTTATAAAGAGGCAGAGATCCTAGACTTTGGGAAAAAATTTTCTTAAAGGGGGTATGTTTATTAACTAAAGAAAAATATTCATTGGATTTAAATAAATATGTTATTGTCATAAAACTAGAAGTAAGGATTCCGGAAAATTAATGATACCAATTGCCAAAAAAACAATAGGGCATAAAAGTCTTATGTTTTTGGGACCTAGATTTTTAATTTTTTTACCAGAGGAAATATGTTTCTCAACTTATTCGATATTTTATTTTATGAAAAAAATTATCCTTTTTAATAAATATACCAAGGAAAGATATTTATAAATATTTTGATTTATGAAAACAATATGGCTCGTGCTGCAAACTTCATCTGCGTGAGTTATGACCTACATTAACGCTCCTTGAATAATATACTATTAAACGATTTGCTTATCTGTATTTTAAATATAGTAAAATAAGACCATAGAAATCGTATTAAAAATAAAGTGTTTTCAAAACCCATGCTCCTAGCCCTCACTAATAAAAGGGTGAACGCCGCTGCTAAATTTCAGTTCTTAATATTTATTATTTAATATTACGTCCGTAATATAATGAGCCACCCTGTATACATTTTCAGTCAACAGGGCCGCTGAGAGACAAGTCGGGCCCCGGGACAATTTCTCAGGTCGGGCCCCGAGACCTTTTTATAAAAAAAGTAGGCCCTCAATATCACACTTAATAAAAGGTCTTCAAGCAAAAACTTTTCGTCCTGTTTAGTGAAATCACTAAAAAAACAGATCTGCAAGCAAAAACTTCTCATCATCTTTAGTACTCCCTCTTGTGCAACGGTACAAACGTCCTCACACCAGAGCTGCCGGGTCCCCCTTATGCCGCTGCCAGGCCCCCACTTGAGCCCGGGCCCCGGAATTAGTCCCGGCTACCCCCCCTCTTGTCGGCCCTGTCGATCAATGTTGAAATTTTGTAAGACTATTTTCGATTGCATGTATACGCCCAATCAGTGTAAATTAAAACGTTCAGATTATCTTATTTCAAGCTTTTCTGATTTTTTCGTGAATATGTTCCTCTTGAGTAAAACTAATTAATTTTGATACAACTTAAAGAAAACACAAACATTTCTATAAACTAGTTAATTGAAATGATGCAACTACCAAGCTAAATGTACTTACTCACTTCCGAAGTTCCTAATGAGTAGCTTTGTTTTCGAGTTTTGTTTAATATCACGCTTACTGACTCCTTGACGATGCGCTTGTCTCGTTAATCAAAGAAAAACTCTGATGTTTTTTTTTTTTTCATAAACTTTGTCCTCACTTGAGGCCAAAGTTTCTTTTGAACTTAATTTGTAACTACGTTTATTTCAGGTTAGGAGCAAACGAGTAATTTTTTCAGTTACAAAGATTTGACTTTACACCATCACTTTTTATTATACAGGGATTTTCAATCCGTCCTTAATAATTTAAAATTGAGGCTTATATGACAAAATACAAGAATAAGTCGAGATGGACAAATTAATATATTTTACTATAATCTATCATGTGTGGAGAGTGGGTTAACCCACGGCATTTAGGCATCACTAAGCTCACTGTGCAGCCTCCTAAGTTGATACAGATTTAATGTAGCCAATTCTTGCCCAAATCAAATCTTCTAATAAATAAGAGCGTCGGGCAATCGTAGAGGATATGCTCGAACAAGTAAACGAGATAATGAGCTTGTTCGCACCAGCTGCACTGTGCGGATTCTGATAGCCTCACGCAATGGAGATGCTTTCGTACTTGGCAATGACCAGTCAGAATGCATGTGATCAGGCGCAGATTCTGTCTAGTCATAGTCAAGTATTTGTTGGCTGTATTGTTATCAGGATAACTTAAAAACTCCTTGGCAACTCTGAAGCTTTTTGTTTCAACTTACCTTTCCCTGAATTTCACAAGAGAGTGTTTTTTAATTAGGTTTTTAACTACCGATGTTTTCAGTCCAATAGAAAGGCCATGTTCAAAAAGTATTTGCTTGGCTGCCTTCTTGGCTAATGAATCAGCAAGATCACATTGTTGATGGATACTTTGGCCAAGGCTTCGCGACATTCTATTACCAACCCTTAGTAAATTCGGGGTCTGTTCAGGGTGAGTAGAGCTTATCTACCATTTGTATAGATGAGCATGTTCCTTCCAGTGATAGTGTTTCTGGTAACTTATTTTGCTGTTGTGAGAATCCCTGTGAAATTGGTTTGTACTCCTTCAACATTTTCAGTTAACTAAATTGTCTCTTTTAAACTTGTTATATTCAAAAATAGCATTTTTCAACCTAGTTAGGTTCAAAAATTGGCTATTTCATTCTTGTTATGCAACAAAATTACCTCTACAATTCTAGTGCAAAAAATGTCCTCTTGCAAGCTTGTTTGGAGACAAAATTTCCTCTTTTAACATTATCGAAATTAAATGGCATCTTTCAACCTTGTTAAGCACAAAAATTGCATCTTTTAATATATTCTGACAACAAAATTACCTTTTTCATTCTTTTTCTGCAACAAAATTGCCTTGTTCAAACTTGTTAGGTTAGAAAATTTCATATTTTATTCCAGTTATGCAACAAAATTGCCGTATTTATAAATATCGGTCAACAAAATGGACTCTTCTAACCCTGTTAGGCACTAAAATTGCCTCTTTCAGTGTAGTCAAACGGCAAAATTGACTTTTTCATTTTTTGTTAGGCAACAAAATTGCCTTATTTTACATTGTCGTTTAATAAAAATGCCTTTTCAAACTTTACAGGCTTAAAAATAGCGTCTTTTTAGGCAACAA